AGAATAACAAATTGAACTAAACTTTTCCACGTGGAGCTTCGATCTTCGTAGTCAGAAACATCAAGGACCATAATTTTCTTTTAGCAACATGCAAGCTGAAAATTGCTATTATTTGCGTTTCTGTCCCAATCAAAACTTATGTAAAAAAGAAAAACAAAGCAGATGAAAGGGAAGATATGGGGTTTATTTATTAATGGCAAAGGCAAATAGATTATTCACTTTGCAAGGGAATTTGCCCCAGTACTTCATGAATGAAGTGCAGGTTTACTTTGGTAAATACCCAATCACATGTTAGGAAATTTTAGTAAGTCAACCCTATAATCTTAAAAAAGATGGGGGGGGGGGGGAGGGGGACAGAATAAAATATATCTAGTCAAATTTGCTCTGTAGAATATGGATTTTCTTGCTGAATGCTTGAATGTTCTGCAATGCGTAAATCTTATTTCAAATCCTATATTGGTTATAAAAATAAACATGATTGCATAACAAGTACTGTTAGCTAATGGGTTTTTGTTACAATTTTATGTTTATACATATGCAGCTCCTTTTTAACTTTTATATGCTAGGAAATTTGTGCCTGTTCATGAAAGGCTTTATTTACATTTCAGTGGCCTAGGCTCACTTTCCTGTCTTTGAAGGCTGGGGATCTGCCTCTAAAATCTGGAAGGTAGCAGAAGAATAGGAAGTAGAGATCTTAGGATCCATGGAGAAGATGAGCTAAGGGATCATGGGGTTGATAGTGTGGGGTTTTTAGAAGGATTGTAAGGGGGAGGGGCAGAGAGAACTTCTTGAAGCAGAGGTTAAACCTGGTTAGTGCATTCTACAAGTTGGGAAGTCCTGAGTATTTCATGTATAAAAGAGCATACAGAGTGGATTGGCCTAAAGTACATAATGCACAGCAACAGAGTGTGCTGTGTTTGTCAGTCTGTATTGTTGTGCACAGCACATTGTATGGGTGGGACAGTCCAGAATATATAATGTGCAGCATAGTGGGGTAGTCTTGATTATGTAATGTGCAGCACAGTCTACAGAATCGGGCTGTCTTGAGTGTGGGTGCCTTAAAGCCATACTACTGCTTTATAAATGGTGCCCTATATGTTTCAAGGTTTCAAAGAGCAAACTGCTTAATAACTACTCTACTATTGTGAACAAGAAAGTAATTGACTATATTACTTTGTAATTTCAGCAGCTGATTATTTTTGAAATATACTTTTTCTTTATGGTCCATTGTGGGATACAGGAATTCAAATAATTCTTAAACAATTGGGTTATACTGCTGCGATCATAAGTTTAAAACACTGGCAACTAAAAAGATATCAAGCCAGCCCATGTATAACCACTCCTCCAACCATCATGCTTCAGGTTTTTGCTAGTATCCCAGGGGGTTGGATGCCTTTTACTCTTTTTTTTTTTTTTTTTTTTTTTACCTAAACTTCGCTGCTAACTTGTGATCCATGGCATGGCAACACTCATCTCTATAGAATGTGGTAGCAAAAATTATCACCACACCCACCTCCAACACAACATACCCTATTTTTTTTTTTACACTACAAAGCACAGCTTCCTGGCTGTGGTAGCGTGTATTGGGCTGTCAAGTAGCCATTGCCCAGTTTTGACAGGCAGCTGAAGCAAGTTAAAAAAATTGCCTCAACTGCCTGTTTTTTGCCTGACAATGCCATTGTGAAAGGTGCTCAACTATTTATTTGATAGATTTTTTAGATTTATTTTTACATTTTATTTTCTCTTCAATCAAGATACTTGGTACACCATATTGTTTTTTTTCTTCACTGTTTCCATAAAGTCTTCAAATATGCTGCTTGAGCTAGTCTCTACACGGCAGCTATCAAGATCATGTCCTCAGTAACAATTTTGAAAGCCATACCCAGACCCTGCTAGACTGAAGTTGGCTGCAAAGCATGGCACAGTCTCTGGTATTACCCAGTCAGAGGACTCAGGCTGAAGCACTGGGAAGTACCTCACAGTTGGTACTCCTGGGTGCAATTTTAACATTTCTGCCACAGTAATCTCCTTGTTCAACAGTTTTATTAGAAGCTTTCAGTATAAAAAAAAAAAGGAAAAAAACCCAGAGATAAATCCAGAAACAACTGTACATACAAGTTTGCCAGCACAATCTTTTTTTTTTTTTTTTTTTTTTTTTTTATTAGTTTTCAGATACAAAAAATTACATATTTCCTTCATATTCTCATAAAACATTCAAAACCAATATTTTTTTTCTTTTTTTTCCCATCCTATATCCATTTCCCACCCCCACCCAACTAAATTCCCTTCCATCCCTCCCTCCCCCCGCCCCCCCCTCCATACTTCCCACCCTGCATTTCTCAGCGTCTTCCCTACGAAAGCAAGAGGCTCTTTCACATATCACACCCTAAAGCTTTGTATCTTTCGCCTTCAGTACAATTTCTTCCCATTTTTTCCATTTCACATAATATTAATCTATCTTGTCTTCCTGCATATACTAAAGTTTCTCCATCCTACAAATCTGGTTCACTCTATCTACCAATCTTCTTCCTTCGGCACCTCTATCTTACGTCAAAACTTGGGTATCAAACCTTTTGCTGCATTTAAATAGTACCATATACTCGATTCTTTGTATTTATTCACTGATAACTCTGTGCTATGGAATAGGCAAGTCTCTGGATCCAATCCCATATTCGTCCCAGTAATCATCCCAATTAAATGAACTATTATCTTCCAAAATACTTGAATTTTTGGACACTCCCACCATATGTGATATACCGTGCCTATCTCTCCACATCCCCGCCAACACCATGGTGAATTCTCCCCACTCATCTTATGTTCAACATTCGGTGTAATGTGCCATCTTATCAAACACTTATAATTTATTTCCACCTCTCGCATACTTATGTTCTCGTGAGTTAATCTATATATTTTCTTCTGTGTATCCTCTTCTATCCCAACCCCCAAATCTCTTTCCCATTTCTCTATATACATTGGCTTTGTGTTTGTGTCTAATTCAGTGAGAATCTTATATATTTTAGCAGTACCGTGTTTCCCATCTCCCCGTGATTCCAACAACCTCTCAAACAAATTTCAATCCTTTCTGAGTCTCAAGGGTTTCGGAAGATTCCCAACAAAGTGTTTTAATTGGTGATACCGCCGCTCGTCTATCTTAGTAAAAATTTCTCCCTTTTCCTTTTCCAAATCCTTAAGTGTTCTCAATTCCCCCCCCCCCCCCCGACCATTATGTCTCTCAACTGGACATCCTGCTTCTTAAACCATTTTCCTGTAATCTCCTCCCTACCTGGAGGAAAAAGCTCTGTGTTCCTCGGTGGCATTAAAAACGAATTAAAATCCCACTTCATATGTTTGTGCAATATATCCCACACCCTTAAAACATTTAAAGTATATAAACTTGTGTTATCTTTTAATCCTCTATATTGTGTTGGCACCCATATAATTTTGCACAAATTAGTTTCACTAAGTTCATTTTTAATTTTAACCCAACTTTTCCCTTTTGGATTATGCGTCCATCAAAAATTCTCGCTAGAACAACTGCTCTATAGTATCTCTTAATATCTGGCACACCCAATCCACCCTTCTCTTTATTTCTACTTAACAATTCATAAGATGTAATAGGTTTTTTATTCTTCCATATATGTCTTATCATTTTTTTAATTGCCTTAAAGAAAACCTCTGGGAGTTTAATTGGGATCATTTGAAATATATATAGGATTTTGGGTACAATTACCATTTTTATCAGATTTATGCGTCCTATCCAAGATGGGTTTCCTTTTCCTAGTTTCTTTAATTCCTCCTTAATCTCATTTAACAATGGGATGTAATTTGATTTATACAGCTTCTTATAAGAAGCAGAGAGTTTTACCCCTAGATATTTTATTTCTCTATCTTTCCGTATAAAGGAGAATTCTTTTTGTATCTTTTCTTTTTCACTATTTGAAAGATTTATATTTAAGATCTCAGTTTTTGTCAGGTTGATTTTTAAGTTTGATAGCTCCCCGTATTCCTTCAATATCTTCATTAAATTTGGGAGTGTTATCCTGGGGTTTCCCACATAAAACAACAGATCATCCGCAAAGGCAGCCACTTAATGTTCTAGACCTCCTATCTGAATTCCCTTTATATCTATATTCTTCCTAATTGATGACAATAAAGTTTCCAGTGACAGAACATACAACAGTGGGGACAATGGACAACCCTGTCTTGTTCCATTTGACATCCCAGTTGGCTCCAACGTCTCCCCATTTACCATAATAACTGCAGATGGCATTCTATACAAATTTCCTATCCATTCTCTCATTCTAACTCCCATCCCCAGGGCTTCCAGAGTGTCCACCATGAAGCCCCAGTCAACTCTATCAAATGCCTTTTTAGCATCGATTGAAAGCACCACCTCCGGAGTTTTTCCCTTTCTACTTTTCTGAATGAGCAACAAAGATCTCAACCCATTGTCTCTGCCCTCCCTCCCCGGAACAAATCCCACCTGATCTCCATGTATCCATTCGGGCATTAAATCTTTCAGCCTATTTGCTAAGACCTTTGCATATAACTTAGTATTTGTATTCAATAATGAAATTGGTCTATAGCTAGAATACTGAGAAGCATCTTTTCCTTCCTTTTGGATAAGCACCACATGGGCCTGTAGAGATTCTCGCCTCATTTCCATCTCCCCCCAAAGCATTCGTGTATATCTTCAATTTAGGTATTAACAATTCATTGTATTTTTTATAGTACCTCACAGTGTAGCCATCTGGCCCTGGGCTTTTTTCCCGTCGTAGTACTTTTCACTGCTGCTTTTATTTCTTCCTGTGTAATCTCTGAATCTAGGGAATTCAATTACTCTTTGCTAATTTCGGTAGACCCGCGTTTTTCAGATATATCCTTTTTTCAATATTCGCATTTCCAGTATTATTTAAAGGGTCATGGGAGCTAATATTATACAACTTACTGTAATAGTCCTTAACCTCCCTAGCAGTATTCCAAGTGTAGCTCGGGGTAAAATGTCAGTACCAAAAGCGGTAACCCCGAGCTACACTCGGGCTTACCATGCGGCGCTGCATAGGGATTCCCTGCAGAGCTTACCTTGTCCTGCGCTCCCGCGATGTGTCCCATGCAACGTCCCCGGCAATCTCCTCCGGCCGATGCCGGCATCCGGCTTCTGTGTTCCGGTCCTTGTGACGTCGGGACGTACGGGCAGCGGCGGGAAATTTGAAAATTTTCAAAAATTTAATTTTTTTCCAAACAAATTTTAAATAGTAAAACATTGCTGTTTCAACCCATTTCACATACATTTTGTCCCTAGTGCTTTGTCCTGTGCCCTGCCTGCATTTTGACTGTTCTTTTTGCCTGGAAACTGAGAAAAGTCCATGGCGTCCAAAAAGTGTCCCTTTAGGTCAAAAGCGGGTTTAGATTAGCTAGAGAACAGCGATAGTAAATCAGAACCACTTGCAGAATTGAGTGATAATGATTCGTGGGGAAATTCGTCATCAGATACTGAAAACGATTTTGTGACTTTGCTCAGCGATGTGCGAACTTGGCGCTTTATTTCAAATTTCAGTGTTTTTGGTTTGATTATATTATTGAATTAAATGTATTATTATTATATTATTATTTTTTATGATTATTAAATTATGACTTCCTGTTTCAAATTTTATCATACCCGGGATGTCTAATAGACTCTTGTTCAGACAGATTTCAGTGAGTTATTCCTAAAAATTACAGCCTACAAAAAAACTACATATTTCCATGCAAAATAATGGTACCGATTTCAGCACCAAAAATCTGAAATAATCATACCGCTAGGGAGGTTAAACACCTTAGCAATCTCTTTAGTTGAATGAACCAATTCTCCCTTGGAGTTTTTTATTTTTTCTATATAATTCCTATTTTTCTTTTTCCTCAGGGCTCTAATTAAATACTTTCCTGGTCTATCTCTCCATCTATACCTCTCACTCAACACTTTATTAAAGGCTTTTCTCTTCTCCTCTTCCATCAAAATCTCTAGTTCTTCCTTCTTTTGTATTACCTTCTGTCTTATCTCTTTTGTTCTATTTTTATGTATCAGTTCCAAATCAAATATTTCCTTTAAAAGCCCACTGAGTTTCTCTCTTCTTTCCCTTTTCTTTTTTGCCCTGATCGCAATCAGTATTGCTTTTATGTAAGTCTTATGGGACTTACACTCTGTAGCTACTGACATGTCTCCTGTCTCAATCTACCCCAAAAAAATTGCTCTATCTCTTCCCTAATCTTCTGATCTGTCTCCTTACCCAGGAGAAGTGCCTAATTTTTTCAGTACACCTTTCAAAAATATCTCCGGTCTCCTATTTGGACAGTAAATATTAGCTACTGTACACTCAATTTCTTGTAGTCTACCTTTTAAAAATAAAAACCTTCCCTCAGGATCTGTTTTTCTATCCTCCAACTCAAACCTTATGTTCTTTGCAAACCCTATTGCCACTCCCTTTGCTCTCTTAATTGGGGAATCTGCTTAATACCACGTTGGATAATATCTAGAATTCAACTTAACAAAGTATGTCTCCTGCAAAAAAAACCACCGAGGATGCCCTATGTTTTAATTCCTTAAATAACCTAAATCTTTTCCCAGGACAATTCAACCCATTTACATTATAAGTTATAAACTGTAGTTCTTCCATCTTTTTTTGTGCCTCTTTTCTTTACCTCCATCCACTCTTTTCCTCACTCTTTACTTTTATACCTTCTCTCATCATGCAAAGTGTTAGCCTTAATTCCCTTCCCCCACCTCCTCCCACCCCCCTTCCTTTTCTACCCCTGTCCCAATCCATTGCCTCCCCTCGCCCACCCCCCCCCCCCCCCTTTTACTGCCCTACTTTTAGGCCTCTAATTTGAGATTTTCCACTCTCAGTAACAAATGCCCCAAATCTTTCCGAATAATTGCCATTTCCTGCTTTGTTTTTTCCAAACTTTTGAACATTTCCGCCATCTCTTTTTTTAGATCACTTTCAGGGTCATTCCTTTCCATATTTTCTATCACTTGTTAACTACTAGTATTCATTCCCAGAGATAATCTGGGGGTATTTTCCAAACTAATTTCCATTTCCCCTTTTTCACTTCCAGCTTGGGGTCTTTCTGGAGTCACATTTCCCTGGGACGTGTAGTTTTTAATCGTGCCAGTTGGGAACCCTTTAGGCCCAGTTCCTTTAGCGCTTTTGTTTTTCAATTCTTCTTGTGAAACCTGTTCTTTTCTATAAAACCAGGGTAAATATTAGGACTATGTACTAGGAAGCCAGTTTTAATCTACCATTTGTCCATTTACACATTAATGTCCTCTTCTAGGGTCGATTAACACCTTTTCCTCTTTTCCATCTTCACATCCCCTGGGAATCCTCCTTTTCTCCTTTACCGAGCATTTGAATATATCACACAGTCCAATATGCAGCTAGCCTAGGCCAATCTCACTCACCGTCCTCTCACTCAAATCTCCTGTGAGGCGGCTCCAGGCTGCGATTATCCGATATTCCTCCTCTGTTCACTTTTTTAGGGGGATTCCTCCAGGGTCTTCTTCTTTGTCTGGCTGTCTGTGGACCAGCGGCATACCGGCAAACTAGTGTACAGGTTGGGAGACGAGTTAGGGAGCGGGTCGGCGTCTCCTTCTCCACTGAGGACACCGTCCGGCTTCTCCTCCTCCCAGAGCTCCTCCGCGGCTGACCACGTGGTCAGGCCGCGTCACTCTGTCTCCCCGGCAACCCGATGCTCCGTCCTGGGTCTCCACTGGCGCGATACAGGAAGCCCAGACCCGCTCTCTGTCTCCGTCCGCCGCCCTGGCACAGCTCCACCGGCTAACCTCCTCACCCAAGTAGGTCTCTGGGGATTTCCATTAGGAGGGCTCTTTGGGGTGGATGAAAGCGGAGGTTTGTCGGAGAGCACTTACATTGTGCTCTCCTGCACCGCCATGTTCAGGCTCCGCCCACCTCCCGTCCTGCAGTCTGGAACCACTTTGGGATGATCACTTGAATTGTGCTATCTGCCAGCACAATCTTAACACGGTATCTGTTAAGGTCAAGGGAACCGACTGCTGACATTATACACTAGGTCAGCGTTTCTCAACCGGGGTGCCGTGGCAAAATGGCCCAAAAAATTTCCCAATCCATCCAAAATACATTCTCGCCATCAGTTGCTGTATTTTCTTTACAGCGGTGCCTGTCCACTAAGTCAAATGTGTATGCAGATGTCAGAGGCCTGCCAATCGATAACGTCGTAAGTTGCTAAGGGCCGTCCCACGTGGCTTTCTGGGAGGCGTGTGCGCGGCTAGCAGTCTGCTCTATGTGGTGTTGTAAGATGCTCTTCTGTTGACTGCTGGAACGGTACACTCCACCGACCTGTGTTAGGCATCGGCACAGCAGGAGCTCGCAGGACCGGGTGAGGGGGTAAATAGCATAGGAATGTGCTAAATCTTCAACTGGTTGCCAATTCAAAGCTACACCCAACAGGCAGCCATATGCCCTTGAAGTTTACTAGCCTTGCCACACTCCTTACTCAGCCAGTCTTGTGGTCTATAGTGGAAGAATGGTCCTGCCCTGGGGTTCTGGTGAGAGGAAATCAGGGAACAGAGAGGATCAGAAGGGAGGGTGGCGGTTTTCTTGCAAAAAAAGAGTGGAGTATAGAGGTGAGCACCTCAAAATAGAGGTACATATCTCTTCTGCTGCATGTAGGCCAGTCAATTCAATTCAATGGGCTTCCCTACCCGCAGAAACACAGGGCAAAGAAGTCCCTGATCATTTTTTTTTTTTTTAAATTGCACTGCACCAAAAACCCACTGCATTTGCCAGTGTGTGTGGCTACACCCCTGTGCATCTGCTAAGTATCAGCATGTTTGTCTGTGTGTTGGAAACGCATACGATATTGTTGCGCAGTAAAGTGAACCAAGCCTTAAATTGGGGTGCCTCAAGGCTAAAAATACTTTTCAAGGGCGCCTTGACGGGAAAAAGGTTGAGAAACACTGGACTTGGTTGGATCTCCTTGTGCGCCATGCAACCTAGAGTAAGCATTATCCCATTGCTGCTTTTGTTTCTGAAGCACCTCATGGATCATCTGGTCTCCGGTATTACTTCACTATCTGCCTTTAGTGACTTGGTCATATCAAGCCACCTGCCACCCTCTCCATTCCCAGTTGCTTTGGTTTGTGAGTATGCAAGACTTTTCCTTACTATGGGCCCAGTTTTTTGCTGCCTGCTGAAACATTTTACATTTCATATCTTTTAAAAGAGATACAGGGAACAGTCCCACTGCAGTGGGTGACCTCAGCTTATACGCCACTACTTTTCCAAGTGGTGAGATCTTTTTATCCCCAGAAAGAACAGAAGATTTTAACCTAGATCATGAGACCCCTTTTATTATAATGTCCTCCTCATTGGAGCATTCTGTAGCTTCGCCACAGGAGGCTGAGACCTTCCATGTGTCCACAAAACCCCTTATATTCACTTTGGATTTTTATCACTCTGTGCACATTTAATGGAGCAATTTACATCAGAGGCGCTCTGATCCATCAATGAGTCTAAATTGTAATACTGCTGGACTTCCATCTGTAAGGGATGAGGCCCCTATTGTAATGTCCGATTTAGAGTCGGGGTCCTCAGTCTAAAAAACTGTCAGTAAATTCCATATGACTCAGATTTAATGGTGTAGTTTCCAACCTGATTGATATATTGTATTTTACAATGCAGTTATAAGAAGCCTGCTGTACCGGGCATATAGTATTTAAAGCATTACTCTGATAATTTAAAACAACCGTTGGAGTTTTTAACTCCTCTCAACAATGTGAAGAAGCTGTTTCCCTTTAAAAGAGAATATATCTGCCTGCTAGACATTTCAGGTATCCGCCTATAACAAGCACATGAAACAAGTGGATGGTGTCCTTACGTTCAGCGATTTTACTGACCGACAGACATGGGCAAGGGATGTAGACTAGAACTCTAGGAACTAAGGGGGTTTGAATCCTCCACACTTTCTAAAAATGGCTACTGAGAGGAGAGTGCTGAAGAGAAGAAAAGTGAGAAAATGAAGTTGTAAATATGTCTATCTTAATCGTACAGTAAAGAACGCAGGGAAACATACAACCTGGTTATAGACGTTTACCTTCAGGTGATTAGACATCAAAGCTTTAGAGGATGTTCCCCCTGGATGCCTCCACTATAACCCCACCCCACTGTGAGTTCTCATTTTTGTGCTAGTGTCTGAAGGCTTTGAACCTTTTCTCCTTCACTGAGAAAATTACCCTTAGCCTAATTAACCACTTGCTCTCCGGAAGATTTACCCCCCTTCCTGACCAGGCCATTTTTTTGATATTCGGCGCTTTGCTATTTCTACT